TTTTATTTCGTACTTCCTTGTTCACCAGCTAAAGACAAAACATGAGAAAAGGTCTCCTTATCTCTCCTTACGTATCCACCATTTAAAAAGCCATTATTTATCAATCTAATGTTATCTCCAATCAAGCCTGGAGGAAATTTATTCTCAAGAAATATTATTTTAAGCCGATTCAGTTCATTGTCACAATTGTCTACATCGGCTAGTCTTATTCTCCGAATAATCATAGATTTTAAAACTCCAACCTTTGTTTTGTAACTATGATTGGAGAAGCAGTTAAGTATAAAGGCAGCCTATGTTGGCTTTCTATAGACATCCCTGCTTAATTTCTCACCTCTTCTGATCACTAAGACATCTAAAAAGGGTAAATTATTGTTCATCTCCATCTCAATTGTCAACTTAACATTTCAGTCAATCTGGTAAATTAAAAACAAGAAATTCTCTAAACTATCCTTGCCATGCTGCCACATAGCAAAGTAGTCATCCATGGCTCTAACTAACAGTTTGGGTGTCAATCTTGCCTCTTCCATAAAGTGTTCCCCCATTCTTGACATGTAATTATTAGCCGAAATGGGAACCAAGCAAGATCCCATTGCTAGGCTTTGCACCTGCTCATAAACTTTATCGTTAAAAGTAAAGTATGTGCCTTAAGATTGAGCTTTCGCTCAGATTTGCCTCTCCAATAACTTCTGGGTGCTCATTTAGGCTATTTGCTAGTGCTTCAATAGCTTTATGAACTGAGATGTTAGTGTACATCGGCTGTTTAATCCTAATTTGCTTGTTGTTTTATTGTTTTATACTATGGTTCCATTTGCTTTTCCTTTTTACCTAATTTGGCTTTGATTACATTCTAGGTCTTCGAATTCTTCCATGCCAGACCCCAAGCTCCCCACACCACAATTCTTTATGCTCGATCAACGGTCTGTCTGGCTCGACCGGTTATTCCTGCCCAAAGTAGTACGATTTTCTGCCGTATCTATCGAAAGCAGAAGCGTCTATCTCGTAACCGAGAGGATGGTCACTCGATTTTGAGGTGGTACAGCTCAAATCTGAGTTCAGCAGGAACGCTCTACTCCAACTCTTCTCGTCGACCGAGTCAAAAGAGCCCTTTATTTACAACAGAGCAGCATTTTGTCTAGCTATCTAGCTTTATATCTTATTTGCTTTTTGAAACGTTTTCGAAATTAATATAAAACTATATTTTATGGTTTACCTTTTATGTCATCCTCTACAAACTCCATGGCTTACTCCAGAAGTCTCACGGGCATTGGCAGGATCTCAGTGGGTTCAGCTAGCTCAAGAAGGTTTTGCAATACTATGTTAGGTTTAGTACAGATTCCTTCTTGAGCAGGAGCAAGTTCGAATACTGTATTTTACATGCATGTGTTTAAGAGCGAGCGCACACATGTGTGGATGTGTGTGTGTGTGTAAGTCTGGGTGACCTTATATACACCACGAATTGTATATTCCGACATAATTTAATGTAATCGGGCTGGGCTACAGTTGGAAACACATGAGCTTTGTTTAGTGTGACATACTAGCTCGAATCCAACGATAATACCAGACTATTCGTCACTGTGTACCAGTCGTATATGGAGCTAGACAACAGAGCCTTGTCAAATTAAAGGGTAGATTTAATTCATAGAAGGACCATCTGTACGAAAAACTTGTTTAGAATATGATATTCACGCTCCTGGGTACACGGGTCTGGAGCCACAACTCTGATCCAGAAGCATCTCGGA